ATGGGGAGATATGTATCTGCCTCATAGGGCTGTTGGGGAGATCAGAGAAGCTAAAACCTATCCAGGTACTTAAAGCACTACAGTAAATACTCAAGAAATGACTTGAGTATTTACTCACTTATTGTCACTTCTGCTGTAGTTCACGTCTGCTGTTTGTGAGAGAAAAGCAATGGAAGTGAAGGGCAGAGAGAGGGAATGAGATCTCTCTCAATTTCTCCAACTTGGAAAAACATTTTACAAATGAAATCACATGAAGCCCTAGTACCCAATTCACCCTGTGTTGGGTCAGGCATGGGCGGCAATGATGTTCTTCCTCAATTACTGCCTCCTGCTTGTGGCAGGTCCCTGGGCCGAGGTCCTAGTGCCTAAATGGTGCTGATCCTGTGAATAAGAAAACCCAGGAGACAAGGATGTCCTCCTCGGGTCAGCCTCATTTCATGGCTGCTGAGTCTTACAGGGAAACTGGGTTTCCCAGGGAAAAATCCAGTGTCCTGCCAGCCAGCTGACGTCACTGTCCTTTTAAAACGAAACCAGGAGCCAGCTGTTGTAGAGATTAACTGTGAGTCCAGATGTGCTATTGAGGCCCCAGAGTGAACAACAAAAATCCTGTTTATACCCTGCAAAATAATAGCAGCTGCTCTGGTTGGGGCTGGCTGGGGTCGAGGATCTGGCCTCTGGAAAGAGAAAGGCAAAAGGATTCTGGTACCTTCCAAGCTGGGAAATGGTGGTGCCACAGGGTGCCAGTCATGCAGGCTGGTGAAATGGGGCTGAGTGTCACAGTGAGTCAGCTTGTGGAATCAGGGCCAAGCCTCTCTGAGCGGGAAAGCTGGGAAGAAATCATTGTTCCAGCCCCTCACTTCACAACTGGGGAACTCAGGATCTGGAAAAGTTCTATGTGGCTGCATTGTGTTCAAGAGAGCCAATGGAGATTGTCAGTCAGAGCCTGGACCAAATCCATGTGATCAGTCTCAGTGGGCAGCTGTGTGGTGGTCATATAGCTGGGGTCTTTTCATTTGTGGTTGTCAGTCCTTGACTATGACTGAGGCTTGTCTCTTTCTGTGCAACCAACTCTAACACTAAACCACCCATTAGAATCTCACCTGACCTTGGTCTCCATTGCAATAGACACGGCCCAGTCCACAGTGGAAGCTCAAGTTGGTGCTCAGTCTGCCCTGACCCTAGGGGTGGGTGGCCAGCTGGACCAAGGAAGTTGCTCCTGGAAGGATCTTATCAGGCAGAGCAGAGGCAGGGGAGAGGGGAGCTCATGGGCAGGCTGGTGGTGGACCTCACCTCTCTAGGTAAGAACCTGTTTAGGTTGAAAGGGCAGCAGCTCTGCCGAGATGAAAAGCCACCCAGCTGCAACTGACCCCAGGTGGTGATGGGGCCCACTGAGAAACAAATCTTCAGGAGCCACGAAATGAAGCCATCACCTCCATGACAGGTCAGTGACAGGAAAGAGAGATGGCCGGCCCCTCCACAGGCAGTGTTCCACCCTTTCTTTGGCTCCACAGAGAGAGAATGAGCACTTATAGCTGCAGCATAGACTGGACTTGGTCCTTCTGTCCAACCACACTGGAGACAGAGTTGGTGTTTTAGGGGGCAGTACTGGGGACTGAATTCAAGGAAGCCTGGTACATGCTAGGGAAGTGTGGTACCACTTGAGCCATACTCCCAGGCCTTTTGTTTTGTATTTTTGTTTTTGAGATAGGCTCTCACTAACTTTGCCCCAAACTTGAGGTCCTCATGTCTCTGTCTCCCAAGTAGCTTGGATTATAGGTATAGCACACCTGGCTGAGACAAAGATATTGATACATAGAATCCCTGAGCCACCACCAGGTTGATATTAGAAGAAGGCAGGTTTCTGAGCCAAGAGGAGTCACCATTAGAACCTTCCAAATGCACACCAGCTACCATAGGAAGTAATGAGTCCTCTATCTCTGGGACAGTTTAAGCAGACGTTGGAAGATTCCTTGGTGGGGTTCACTTATCCACTCATTCATCATTCACTCAATCATCCTTCCAATTTTTTTCATCTCTCACATTTACTCCAGGTGTAAGCTAGTAAGACAGGGATGACCCCTGGCCACAGGGTGCTGTGGAAAAACAGGGGGGTATGGGGGCAGGAGATGGCAGGGGACATGACTGTGCCAGTCAGGGAAAGGTTCTTCGTCATTGATGCTGAAGCCTGAAGGTAGAGGAGGACTTAGGATGGAGGAGAAAAGTTCCAGAAAAAGGAGGGAGTACATGTGAAGAGCCAGAAAGAGTGAGGCCAACAGAAAAACCAATATGGTCAGTGAGGCAGGACTTAGTGGGGGCAGCATTGAGAGTGAGGTCAGCATTGGGCCCTGTGGCTTAAGTCAGAGCTTTGTGCTTTTTTCCAAGAGCCACCAGAACCAATGAAAAGTTTTAAACAAAGCAATGACGTGGTCAATGCAACTGACTTCCCCAGGCATAGTCCCTGGGACAGGGCAGGAAGTTTCCGTGGGAGGTGACTCTAGAGAAGTTAGTCAAAGAGTAGGGAAGTTAGATAGGGCAGGGCGGCTGCCAAGAAAGTATGTGTGATCAAACAAGTCACCACGATGGACAACTGCAGCTTGGGTTGCAGTGAGTCTGGAGCCTGGAGGTCAGTGAGGAGGTCCAGCAGACAGTCCAAGCAAGAGATGCTGGTGAAGACCAGAGGACAAGTTAGGGTGCAGAATGGCTTAGTGATAGATGTCAGGGAATGAAGAACACTATAGAGAGGATTAGGGTGGCTGGTGAACTCAGCTCTGCAGGAAGCCCCTCACCCAGGGCTGTCCCTGCCCCCAGACTGCCTCCCCTACAGGCCCTCTTCTGTTCACACACATCAGGGACACAGGCTTACTGCCCCAACTTGTCAGCAGCTTTTCAGAAAAGTGACATGGCCCCTGGAGACCAAGAAGGTGCCTGTGAGGGAAGTGAAGGGACTGTGGCAACCACTTAAGAAATAAAAGCTGGGCTGGCATGAACTCCACCCCCAAGTCCTGGAAGAGACCCCTTGGAGAGAGAGAGAGAGAGAGAGAGAGAGAGAGAGAGAGAGACAGAGAGAGAGTGTGTGTAATTACTGGTGTGTGCCACCACTCCTGGCAATTCCTCTTTCCACTCTTTTTTTGATACAGGGTCTCACTATGTAGGCCAGGATAACTATTCACAATCCCCTCACCTCAGTCACCCGAGTGCTGGGGTCACAACTGTTCACCTCCATGCCTGGCCTCACATCCCCTACAGGGGATATTATTTCATTGTTTGTCCTGGACTTGGACTCAGCCTTGGTGTCTTCTCTAAGGGCTTTCTCTGACTGCTGGTGTATGTTCTGTTTGGGAAGAGGAGGAGTTTGGGGAAATTAATGGGCACCTTCAATGTCCTTAACCAATGACTGGGAGGTGGTGTGTTGGGACCCAGCTCCCTGGACCCTACTGTGGTACGTGTTTTTGTTTGCTTTTGTGGTACTGGGGTTTGGATGAAGGCTTTGTGAGGGGATCCCACACCTGTGACAGATGCCTCTGCCTGGCAGCCCCAGTCCCATGTGCTTAAAGCAGGAGCTGGAATGTTCGTCTTCTGGGAGAAGAGGCTCTGCTTCCCACAGGACTCATGAGTGTCACTCAGTTCCCAATAGGAAGCCAGTGGCATTTTCACATTACTGGAATTTGAGGAGAGTTTATTTGCAAAAATGGAGGGGACTTGGGAGCTGGGGGACAATGCAGGAACTCAGAACACACAGTGCAGCAAAGCTTCCCCACCCTGAGGTGAAGGGGGAGCGGAGGGTTACTCCTGAACCTGGGAAGGAGACACAAAGAGGCCTCCTGCCAGGCCACTAAGGGGAGCAGAGACCCTAACTCTGTCCTCCGCCCCAGTCTCCTGCCATTGACAGGTCAGCCCCCTGGGCCAGGGCAGGGTGGGGACAAGAGCTGCAGGTAAATGGAAGGTATCCCACACAGTGGGAAGTTCTCCAAGGGGGCTTAGGTGTAACAAAGGGTCTTAACGTCCCCATGTGGAAAGGGAAATGTCACGGAGCATCTTGAGTTGGGGCTAATAGCCCCATGTAGCTGCCGCTCAAGAAGAGCAGATGGTTCTTTTCTTTCTCTTACACTATTTGCTATTCCCATAAAAGATCTCCTTCCAGGGTCCTATATCTGTCACTCTGAAGCTGTACTCATGGTGAAATGCCCAGGAATTAAGAACTGGCTCTTTCTGCTGCTAACTTCTTTGATCACAGCTAAATCCCTTCTTCTACAAACATCCACTCCCCCCCACTGCCAAAAATAAATAAATAAATAAAGTCCCTTCTTTCTTCTGTGTCTTAGTTTCCCTCTATGTAAAACCAGGAGATTAGTGCAAGGTCTTGAGTTCAATCCCCCAGTATGGCAAAAATAAAAAAACAAAAGCCAGGAGGGCCAGCCAGATGACCTTTCAGGGTTATTCAGGTGACCTCTCAGGATCCCTTCCATTCTACTAGAAAGGCCCATGGCCCCCTTTCAAACTGAGGCCCAGAGCGTAGAGGGCCTGCTGAGTCCTGCCCTGTCCTGTGGATGTGTTTTCCCCAAGGGGTATGGCTCACATCCAGGCTTATTTTCAATTAGCACAACAGCCAGCATGAGGGTTCAAGGTCAACCTCATGTGTGGCTGTCAATGGAAACGTGAAAGAACTGTGGTTTCTTCTAGACCCTGCTGATCCCTCCTGCACACCTGGGGATGTAGGGTCAGTGCAGTGTCACTACTTGGCCTTTGAGTCTCTGGGTCCTGTGCAAATCTCAGAGCTCAATTTGTTGGGAGTTTCAAATCAGGTCTGTGCAGTTCCTCTGAGTCTCTCTGACCCTGACTCTGCTCAGCCAAGTTCTGCCACAGCTATGGAGCTGCTTAGAATCCTCCCTTCCCCCAGCCTGATGGGCCTGTGCCCCAGGCATGTGACACAAAGTCCACTGCACTTGACATTAGAACTGGAGACTCCAGGGTTCGTGCACACCAAGCTTGGGAGACCCTCAGAGGCCACTTTTTTTTTTTTTTTTTTTAAAACCCTGAGTTGTGAGGTGGGGCAGAGCTTTCCAGCCGTGCAGGTGGGTTCTTTTGGAACTAGAGATTTCAAACTGACAGCCCTGGTCATTCTGGCCTGCATTCATGTTCTCTTTGGCTTGTGCCATGTTTGCCCACATAAGTTTATTTTCACAAACTGAAATGAACTGCCACAGTTAGAGATCGACGTAGGGTTTTGGTTACTATAAGAAATGAAAAGACCTGGCAGTCCACCAGGCTCACTTCCCTGCTGGGGGAATGTTTGACCAGAATAGAGCTCTAGCTAGGCTTCACCCCAGGAAAAGACACACGCTCTTCTGTTCACCACAGTCCCCACCATTCCTCATTGCCTTCCAGCTGGGAACAGAATGCCTGTTGTCACTTATCACCAGATTTCTGCTGTGATTTCTCAGGCTAGCAATAGGATGAAAGTAAAATGTGTGGGGTCTCCTCATTTCCAGGAAAAATAGAAAAGTACTTTACTTATATTATCTGTCTGCCCATTTTTACCTGGGTTGCTGATATAAAAGTTTATCTCCAGGAGTGAAGGAGAGGGTCCCTGTTGTCTCTTCTGCCACCACACCGCCATGATGGTCACTTACATTTATTAACCTTCTATCAAGTTGTATGTGATTTGTCTGCAAGGCAACATAGGGGACAAAAGGAAGACAAAGAGCCACTGGAGCAGAGGGGTTAGATCTGATACAATGAAGAACTCGCCACACCAAAGACAGCTGCAAGTGGAAGGGTCTGAAAAATGAGCTCTAAGCAGCTCTTTCTCTCTAGGCTGTCTGCCTGGCTCCCAGCTGAGGCTGTGGTCTGGGCAGTGTAACCAGCAAACTCGAGGATGTGGTAGGGTGAGGAGTTTGGACAGGGAGGCTCGGGGTTGGTCTGTGAACTCAGTTACATCCGTGAAAGATGTCTGAGCCTCAGTTTCTACCTGTGTAATGGGAATGTGAAGACAGTCCCTGCGTGTGCTGTGCAAACCCTGGAGTCAGAGCCTAGGCCCTCTCACAACTCTCTGTTCTCACCACACAGCCCCACTGCGGTTTCCTGGAGGCTCCCTCAGAAGCCCACGGGGGGCATACTCCAGGCAGGTTCCCCCAGCCAGGTGGGGCAAGCAGGTGACATGGTAGAGGAATTGCAGGTGACCGTGGTTCAGGTGGCAGTTCTCTTCATGGGAGCCAGACTTTGGAGACCGGTCACAAGAGCCAAGCAGGTCGTCATCCCAGCCATGATCCGCATCCCAGACCTGCACCCGCAGGGGCCCCCGTGTGGCCAGGAGCACGTCCCCAAAGTCCAGCCGGGTCTTCCACTTGGGGTTGTTATTGTTCCATATGACTTCGGTCCTCAGCATCTGTTTACCAAAGAAGACCTTCACGTAGGCGTCAGAAGCGGTGACTGTATCTCCCCATAGACCCCATGCTTGGATGATAGTCACCTGAAGCCGAGCCAGGCCCCGCTGACGTGGACAGCAGTCCTGGTTGGTGGCCCCTGAGTCGTGACACATACACTGGCACGGGTCCCTAGAGCTCTTCTGTTGTCCGGGCGGGCAGGGCCTGCTACAGTCCCTCCAGCGCGCCCTGCCCATCAGGTACTTGCCCAGGGCCTGCCTCAGTGCCTCCCGCCGCGGGTCCTGCCTCTTCACCAGCATGTGCAGAGGCTTCAGGCTGTAGTCAACCAGGCCAGGGCTGCTGGATAATGAGGCCACCCAGGCTGAGAACTTCTCAGGCCCAGCCTGGTTCCCAAACAGCAGGTCATACATAGAATCATGATGGCCACCAACCACATCGTTGTGGCGCTCGTGGTAGGCCTGGTGGAAGGAGGTAGTCATATTCTGTTTCTGCTTCTTTTCCTCACAGGCCTTGAATTCAGATGAGGAGGTGGCATGGCCAGTGATGCTGACCTGGGCCTCGACCTCCAGGCAGTCCCCCACATCATCCACTGTGAGCCCGTCCAGGGTCAGCTTGCAGATGCGCAGAGCTGTGAGCGATGAGATGCGGCCACCCAGCTCCATGGACTGGATGAAGTGAGTGCCGTAGGTAGAGATGAGCATTTTGTAGTCAGGTTCGGTGGAGGCGTTGAAGTGGGGGGGCAGGCTGCTGAGTGCCTTCTTGAAATCGGGGTGCAGTGGGGGCCTCTGCACCAGGTGCAAACTGTGAGGAGAGAGGAGGATTAGGAGGGCCCGGCGGCGGGTGGAATTTAAGATCTCCTTTCCTTAAAGGTACTCTACTGCTTGAGCCACACCTCTAGTCCACTAGCTCCTCTTTTTCAAAGTGAAGCTTTTTATTTTTTTTCTTATTGTAAAGAAGTGACACACATGGATGACATCTATGTACCTTTGGAACCTAGTCATTTGGCTTTCAACCATCTGTCCCAGGGATTGGACCCATGTGTCTGGGCTCCTGACTGCCCTCATCCTGCAGGCAAGAATTGCCCACCCTTCTTTCTTGCTTTCACTTTGGAGGAAAGGTGGTCTCTAAGCCCAAGAAATCCAAGCAGGTGACTTGGGATTGGCTATGGCAACCATATATTGCCTGATGTAGGACCCGAGGCCCAAACTCTCTGTCCCCTGGAGGCTGGGATGGTGGCTGTGGTTGCTCAGAGGTGTAGCTCTGACATAAGAAAGGCAAGACTATTGGTTGAGTGGATGAATGAGGCTCAGAGAGGAGAAGAGTGATGCCCAAGGTCACGCAGCAGTGAGGAGGGAGGACTTGGCCAGGTCTGTCCCTGTCTCTACCCAGGAAGGACCCCATGGGAAGCTGGCATGCCCAGGAAAGAGGGTGTTGGGCTCTCACTGGATCTAAATGGCACAGTCTTGTTACATGCTCTCTGCCTGGTCTCTCAATGGGCCCTTCTAGATTTGGGTTCTCATGGAGGCAGAAATCACAGGCTATTCCCACCTGAAGTCTGAGAGCCAGGATGGCAGCCTTCTCTTGGTAGAAGCAACCTTTGTGTTCCCACCCTGCCATCCCAGAGCTCCTAGACCACTTGGCGTTTTCCACTCCTTTACCAACTCCCAATCTTGCACCTGCCCCGACTCTCACCTGTACAAGCGACACTCCACAGTGTCAGTGTTGAAGCTGTACTGGTCCTGGCGATTCTTCTGCTCTGCAAAGTCTGTGACCTTGGAGTGTGAGCCGGCCACAGACACATGTAAGTTGATGCTGGGATTGGGGTTCACGTCCAGTCCCACCGTCCAGTTATTGCGGATGTTGGCGGCCGCTTTTTGGGCCACTCCCTCAATGGAGTTGACCTTGGCCTTGGCCACATGGTGCTGGCAGCCAGAGCCCTCAGCACGCCAGTGGGTGAGCGCCAGAGGCAGGCGCTGCACAGCATTCTGCTGCAAGGCATTTTTGCAGAGTGTGCAGGTGCCGTCAGGTCGCTGGAACTTCTGGGTGTCCACTGGGAAGGCGCGTGAGCGAAGGAGGGTGGTCACGTCTATACCTTCTCCAGCCAGCCATGAACCAGGCACAAACTTGTGGTTTTTCTTGCATTCCGAGCGAGCAGCTGTGTAGCAGGGGGCAGGAGCAGGTGAGGGCAGCAGCAGGAGAAGGGCTAGGAGGAGCAGGTACATTGCCATGGAGCTGCAGGAATAGAACCTTGTGAGCTATGGGAAGTTGGGGCAGAGAGACAGAGGATTGTTGGTTTCCCCACCCACAGCTGTGGAAGGAAAGAGACTGAGATTATGTAAAATTATAGAAGGTCAATGGGTCCAGAGAGGGTAAGTGTCTTGCCCAGAGTCAGACAGCCAGGAGATGCTGCTTGCTAGGATTTCACTATCTAAGGTCTAATGGGCATCTAGATAGATGGCTCTGTCCCCAGGACACAACTGGCAAGGAGGGGGCCCTGGCCACAAAAGAGGGAACAGAGTAGCTGTAGGGAGTTTGGGGGAGGGCACGGGGACTTGAGAAAGCCTAGGTTCTGGAGAAGTGGCATTTTGAGCTTCACAACAGCTCACCTGATTCTTATTCTGTTTCTAGCTTTGATCTGTCTCTCCCACGGAGCCCTTCAGCAAATTGGAAACAAGGTCACACACCACCCTTACTCTACCACTTGCACTGTGCAGCCCTCTGAGCCCCATGGAGGAGCACCAGCCTGAACTCTGGAATGAAAAGCTGTCTTAGCCCACGCCCTTGCTATGGTGTGGAGGGACCTTTAGATTTCCTCTTCAGAGCCTCTCAGTGCTCAGGTTTCTTCAAATTCCCACCAGGCTCTGCAGACCCTTGTTGCCCACTTTTGGGGGACGATTAGCTAGAAGGTTCTTTTTCACTCAGGGGCTTCCCCCAGGCCTGCTTTTGATTTAGAATCCCTTCCATCCCCTTCCAAACTGAGCTCCTCAGAGCCCTAATCCCTGTGCGCCTGACAGGGGCAGCAGGTTCTGAGACAAGGGGCTTATGGGAAGCAGGAATGTCCCAACATTCTTGCTGGAGCCCTCCATGCAATACCCAAGGAGTGACTTGGAGGCGGAATTGACAGGATGCAGGGCTGGGGAGAGAAGAGGTGGCAGGAGATATTTCTCAGGCCCTGTGATCATCCTGCTTAGGAGTCTAGTGCAGTTTGTGACCACTTACTCATTCCATTGTCCTGTTGTTTTTATTTTATTTTTTTATTGACAGTGTCTCACTGTGTAGCCCAGGTTGACCTCAAACTTGCAATGATTTCAGGTATGCAACACCTTACCCAGCCTATTTCATTTCCAGCTTTGTGTGTGTGTGTGTGTGTGTGTGTGTGTGTGTTACTGGGGTTGAACTCGGGGCCTCTTGCTTGCTAGGCAGGCACTCTACCACTACAGCCACGCCCCCAGCCAAAGAAAGCTTTTGTTATTTTTAAGACAGGGTCTCATTTTATGCCTGGGCCAGACTGGACTATAGCTGGGATGACAGGCATGCCAACTTTTATTGGTTGGAAATTTTTTGTTCAAACTGGCCTAGAACTTTGATCTTCCCAAGTAGCTAGGATTACAAGTGAGACATGGTACCCTGCTTATTTCCAACTTTTTAAGATGTTTAGCTGTCAGCACTTAAAGGGAACTTGAAACTGTACACTAACTTCTTATATTTGAGGCTCAGAGCGGGCACAAGGTTGCCCAGCGTGTTAGCAAAGGAGGGCCAGAGCTTCCTCACACCCAGGCCTCTTGTCTTAGGGTCTGGCACTTCCTATTCCATCAGGTTCTTCCCCCAAAGTGGCAGCCTCACACCCCGACCTAGAGGCTCCCAGCCTCCCTGCTCCTCACCAGGCTTCCTCCCTACCTGGAGTCCTTTGGGAGAAGCTGCTGCCAGATGCCCTCACTCTCCACCAGAGGCTCCTGAAATGGTGGTGTCTGTCCCCAGGCAGGTGCACCTCTACCCTTGGCCACGCTCACATCACTTCTGTTTCCTGTCCCGCCCCCAAACTGTGGCCACAGGTCCCACCAGCACCCAGTGTCATCACCTCCTCATCCGGGCCTGTTGACAGCCCTCAGGAAACAAGCTTCAGGGCCAGGGCTCATCTGCCATACAGCTGCTCGGAGCCCAGACACAGGCACTTGAACTCTGGCGTGTTGGTCATTCCGTTTCAGATCTGTGTGTGTAAGATGTGCAAGGCAGCCAGGAGAGGAGCTGAGAGCCACCCAGGCATGGCCAGCTCAGTCAGGCACTAGCTGTGTGGCTAGGCAAGGCATTTTACCCTCTCAGCCTCAATGTCCTCATCCAAGAGTGGGGATACCAATAATGTCGACCCCAGAGGTGGTTGTGAAGACAAGGTGAATCAGTGTCAATGTGTGTGACTGTCCCTTCTCTGGGGCAGTGCAGAGAGATGTCCAAACCTGTGTCCATTTCCTGCCCTGGGCAACATGTGGGTGTTGGTGAAAGATCAGGTGGAACCTGACACTGAGGTCAGTTTTTCTCCATTCTACCACGCCTGAGGTCAGGGTGGGGGAGGTGTCCATGGGTGGAGTGACTCATAGGGGACCTTCTGGGGACAAAATCACACTGGTTCTGAGGTGGGGACAAGTGCGTAAGTGGGGGGCTGGTTTCTCAACACCTCCAACTGTGTGTGTGGTGGGAACACGAGGCCACATGGCCCAGACCACATGTGACACCACATCTCATGGGTCACATCTCAAGGCTCATCCCTCTGTCCCTGCTCTTACAGGAACCAGACCTTCTGCTTAATTCTCGGAACCTGGCCCCATTGTCTCCCCTCCCTATCCCAGAAATTACAGCCTCCTGAGCCCTTCGGCCCTCACCGTGGCATGACTTGGATGCAGAGGCTGTGAGACGGTTAGTCCCTGACTGTGCTGGGAAGGCCAGCATGGAAACACTGGAAAAATGTGTAGGCAAGGAGAGGCGAGATTCTGAACAGGCTCTGGCCCACCTTCTCCAGAAACTTGCCACGTGACTCTCAGTAGCTATTAACTGCTGCCTGAGCCTGAGTTACCTCACCTGAAAATCCAAAGGAGGACTTTGAGATCTTCAGAACCCTGATGAATGTGCATTTAGAAGGTGGGGAAGGGGCTGATGTCTGGGAGATGGGGGCAGGTGCTGGTGGGGTGTCCATTAAAGAGTTGTGATGACATTGAGGTTATATCTGTGCTTGGCTCGTGTCATTGATGTCAGATGTCCTACCTGGTTGAAACTGAGTGTTTGAAATGTGCATTAAGCCTTCCCCAGAGACACAATGTTTAACAAGGACACAATTTGTTTGATTGCCAGGCATTGTCTATATTGTTTTTAAAAACAACTTTAATTCACACGCCATATTTTCACCCATTTAAAGTGGTTCGGCTCAATGGTGTTTTGTATGTTCACATAGTTGGCCATATATCACCACAATCAATTTTAGAACATCCTCTTCATTTTGAATATGTACAGAGATTTAATTAGTCCTTCATTGGAAGTTCCAATAATAAATGATGCATTATTATTTATTGTATTATCAGTGTATCATTATTGTATTATCAGTGCCAACTAGACCCTTTTAGCCAAATTTAAGCAACAAGAGGTTTAGAAGAAGTGTTCACCTGGCATCCATTTTTAATTTTGTCTGTCTTATAGATGATGTTTCTGACATCTTAAAAGTGCTGCAGAATGTCAACAGAGAATAGTTAAAAGTTTTACAAGGGGAATTAAAAAAGCCAACAAAAGCAAATATTTAAAAGGCTGACTCAATTGACAAATAAATGCTTGTTAGTCATTTTTGGGTTTGATTGTAAATGTTTCCAAGTAGGATCCACACTGTGAATGATACGACTTAGAATAGTCATGTGGAAAATACTGAAAAGTAATTGAGCAATTGTCAGAACAGCTAGTTATTTTTCTAGTACACAACATTTTAGGAAAATAATTCTGAGTGACAGCATTTCAACAGCAACATTAAGTGCTCCTTCCTACAGTCAGGAGTATAAGGACACAAGCCTGCACAAGCCTAGCATCACTAGCAGTTTTAATTTGGAGAACATCTACGTGGTAAAAGTTTTTTTCTAAGCTTTGTATTTTAGAAGGCATATATAATGGGGAGTATAAATACATTACAAAGGAGCCAACAATAGTTAACATTACAGTTATATAGATATCAGATATATATTAATTTAGCTTTTTGGGGGGAGGGAATAAAATGTAGAATTTTGGTTAGGTAAGATAGTAGGCATACAGTACTGACAAAAGCCAAAATTTTATTTCTTATGAGTTAGGGGGACAATGCTCTTGATCCCAAATAATCTCATTTCCTAATGTACAAATGCATTTTAGTATACAATAACTGTCATTTGGTTAAGGCAAATATTGTAGGGAAGATTTTAAATAGGATTGCCCAAGTGGCAGAGGTTTTTTTTTAATATTACAGATTACAAACAGCAGAAATGTTAAGAATCTTACTGACCAGGTTTAGTTGTAATGTATTTTGTTTTATTTATTATTTATTTTTGGGGTACTAGGGTTTGAACTCAGGGCCTCATGCTTGCTAGGCAGGCACTAGATGTAATGTATTTTGAATTAAAGAGAACATTAGTTGGTCATTTTACATGTATTAAACTGATACACTTTTTTTAGAACAGTAAACCGAAAATTTATTATCACTGTCATCCACTGTAATAAAATATTATTTGAACAAACCAACACAAGCTGATGCAATCATTAAGGAATTTCTTTTCAAATCTCTCACTTTTTTGACAAATTCTTTCCTTGCCTTAGGATGAAAACCTGGGGAGTCCCTCAACACCCATGGTTAAGTCTTAAATCAAAATATCAATCAGGTAGTAAAATTACTAATTTTCATGAAATAATTATATTCCAAACATGATTAAAAATTAAGTGAGGTAATTTTAATTTTCCACCTTGAATTTAGAAGAAAGTTTAACACACTCTTAATTTTATAAAAGTTTGTACAATATTTAGATAAAGTCTAACACGCAACTCTACATACTTTTAGTCACAGATACATAGGGAATTAACTTAGAATTACTTAGAATAATAGTTGTTTTACCACACAGTTAGAAGGAGGTTATTTAAGAGACTTTTATATGAACAGATACTTGAATTCTGATTTAGTTAAGGTTTACTTTCTTAAGTAGTCAAAGGCTTGACAAGATCAACAGAAAACACATGATTATTTTGATAAAAAAATTTTAAAGCCAGTTTCTTACAGACGTTACTCAGAGCAGAACAATATTAAGACAGCCTTGTTGTTATAGACATAGACTTAAGTTCTAGTTTTATATTAACACACTAAATTTTGACCTTAGAGAAATTTTTAGGCATTTAAAAATTGTAGTCAAGTTAATTACACACATAAACTTGATAAGTTTAAGACCTTTCTAATTTGCTTTTTGAAATAACTTATAAAAATTTAAATTTAGACAGAATTGTTTTTTTCAACAAAATAAAATATTAGTATTATATTTAATACAGACCCAGGAAGAAAATCAATCCTAAATTATTTCTTTATCCAATAAGCAATTTGTAAAAATATTTGTTAATAGATCCAATTATAAAAGAGTTGAATGTAAATTACACTTATTACAGAATGAAACAGATCAAGGTTATTGTTCATGTAATATTTTTCTTTGGTCCTAGGCAGAAGATAATTCTTGAATGCCTCATTTAGTTAGACATAAAAACTTTAGAAAAAACAGGTTTTCTTAAAAGTAGCAGCAGAAGAGGTAGGGGAGAACAAACAGAAGCAACAATTCTTTTACATTAATTTTACAGTAAGATTTATCCTAAGTATGTTTGTATACATGCATATGTGAAAAAGTCTTTAAATTAGGTGTGCCATAAATATCAAGTTGAGTAGGCATAGTTTTAAGAGGTCAAGAACATGAAAAAATTAATTTAGTGGCCGCAAGTTTGTTGGTCAATTATTTTGTAAATTTTCGAGCAGATTGAGATGTGTCCCATGTTGTTTTTTCAGACTCTTTTGGGAGGCTTGATAAGGTGAAACAAGAGTCAATGTTAGAAAAGTCATTCTCAGTCTCCCGTAAGACTGTGGCCATAGCTATCAGATTTTGGTCTCTAACAAGTCAATTGTTACAGACATACAAAAACAGACACACAAAAACAGACACACACAAAATCCACATAAGGACACACAAAACAATTACATTAATTCCAAGTGTGCTCTAGATATTGTCTTTTTCTTTTATAATAGACTAGTCAGGTTGAATTTTCCCTAGGAGGTAAGATGTGCTTTTTATTTTAAAGCTGTTTATAGGCTTTATTTTTATAGTTATCAGCCCATCTTTTAGTTTTTGGAGAATTTTTTTGTGAATGTTGGGGACTGACTGGAAAATAAAATGAAGGTGAAGGTAAATTTTTCCTAATCTGAGTCAGGTGTAAGAGTGGTATATTTGGTCATTGCCTCTGGAAGGTGAGAGAAGAGGGCTGAGTTTTTATTGGGGCCATGTAGAACCTTTTACTTTTTAATATTATTTTTATAGTTAACTTCCTTAAATGCAGCCTTGTCCATTTTATCCAGGAGGCAGGTAATTATTTAACATTAAAAGACTTTAGATTTACCTCTAAAGGGTACTTTTTAAATAATTTGTAAAAATAGTTTACCTTGGATTATAGCAACTTTGTTATCAGTCAAATCTTTTAAGTGAATTTATGGAGCCTAGTTTTGGGTGTAGAGCTGTTATCCCATATCCTCCTCCAGACAAAGGATGCAGGATGCATGAGTCCCCACTCTTATTTTATATCAAAAATTAGTCTTTAAATCAGAATTTGTATGCAAGGCAGGGAAAGGGGCAGACTGGTATGGAGTGGTGAAAAGGATTACATCTCCATTGAAACTGGTGATATCTTGCTATCTTAGTAAGCATGGAAAAGTTAGAATGAATTAGCCCCTCAAGAATTAATTTTAGAAAAGGGGTCTTTTATAATAAAAAAGCCCAAATGACTTATTGAAGTCATGACACAACCCAAAAAGGCTGTCCTTTTGTCTTTTAGCTAATTCCATAACCCAGAGTATTGAAATCCCAACTTTTAAATATATGGGACATTTGTAGGAGATAAAAACTTTCACAGAAAATTGAAATTTTTTCTTTGGTCTCTCCAGCCTATGTGCACTTAGGACTGAAGGCGTGCACATAGGCTGAAGGCATGTGTGAAAGGCTGAGGGCATGGGTCTGTAACCCCAACCTCATGGTGCCTTGGCCAGGAGAGCAGACGGGCCAGTCCAAGGTCACCACCTGGATATGACCCGTCCTCTCCCCTGGTCTTTACATGTCTGCAAGGGGAAAATGGCCCATCTCCAAAGTAAGACTTTAAAGAGGGAGTGTTAGTAGAGCATTTAGACAGGTTTAGAGGCTAAGCATTAGGTGGGAAAAAAAATCCAGGAGTTCAGGACAGAAAAGCAGCTCTAATCCTCTGCAATATGTCATTTAGATTTTTAATTGATTTTATGTTTTTAGCCCTGGAACCCTGTGAGTCACTCGGGAGGCTGAGAAAATTGACAATCCAATTTGAGTAGGACTTTTTTTTTTCTCCTCATCCATATCTGTCTCTGTTGTCCTCACTGGGATGGCCACGCCAGGAGGAGACAGGAGCAGGATATGGAGTAGGAGGGTGAAATGAACCTCCATCATGGCTGAGACAGATTTAGAGAGAAGAGTTTCAAAGTTAAACCCTTTTCATACCTTGTGAGATGAGGGAAGAGGAAAGAATGACATAGAGGTGGGTCGAAGTCAGAGGAGGAGGAGAGTTTTTTTTTAATGGAAGATGATGAAACTCGAGAGAGATTTTTTTTTTAGGAGGAGACTGTGACAAAGTGAACGACTTTGACAGATAGAGGGTTTAGAGTAGAGATAAACAGAGGCTTAGATATAGGGGAACCTTGGATCATGTTCCATAGTGTTGGAGGAAGTTTTTGAGATCGCACTGAATTTGGAAAGTGAAAGTGTCCTGTTCTTGTCAATGGTTTTATTGTCCAATTTATATTGGGGCCAGACTGTTATAGCAGAAAATCAGCCATTTAGGCTTAATGATTTCTGTGAGACCCAGGGTCTGGAGGTTTTGGAGGAGACATCCCATAGATCTGTTCCTCGGGAGCTCTAGTCCATTTTTGTGGAAAAAGGTGGTGCGTAATCTCCACGGTGGTTCTGCCTGTTAGGACAGACCTATCAGAGGGCCAGAGTACCCTCTCAACCACTGAAGTCTCCGATATGCTTCCGAGGCAGTGTACCTGCATCTTTACAAGCATCCCCAGAAAATAACAGGTGAGTCCATCCAGCGGGCAGAAAGAGTAACTTACCCTGCACCAGGGCTTCTAAGATAGAGTCCTG